TATCCCAATTATAACCCTGAGGGTTGAACAGGTTATTTTTCTGAAAAATTACTACTACTTGTCTAGTGATGGATATTTCATCATTTAATGTGCAAGCACATGTTTGTAAACATCTGAATTGTGACTGACACCGCCTCAGCTATTTTTGCTTCAGTGTCTGATGCATTAACTTCAAAACTGGTTTCCCCAGGTTGGAATCTCAGATGTGGTTGTAAGGACTTCTTTCTGCACAAAACAAAGCTGGTACTCACCGCAGAGTGTCTTGAAAAAGGTGTCAGTATTTATCTCAACGCATATGTTATAGTACCTCTTAAAAATAATGCATTAAAAAAAGTGCAGGTACTGGATACCGTTTGACCTCATCTGCTAGGTTGACCCAGCCTTAAATGGATACCAGGTAAATTCCTGGGAAGTAAAGGCAGATGGCGGGATGTTGACCACATCACCCATCCCACCGAATACAGATTGGTTTGTAAAAAATATGTTTAGCCCTATTTGCCCAATACACCTGAAGATGTGGAAAAGGATCCCTTACTTTGTTGCATACCACCAGAAAAACACAGCCTTCATAGCAGTTTTTAAAAACTGACTCAATTTCCAGGTCAACCTAGCTAAAACTGGCTACAGTTAACAACTAAAAATACACCTGCGGGACACAGTAAAGTAACCTGCACTTGGGTCGCCCAGGACTTGTTTCTGGCAGTACCCGGTACCAGCACCTTTTTTGAAGACTTGTAAATTCAGCAATGATGTAATAGACACTTTGTGATGAGAACCACCACATTTTTGTTGTAGTTGTTGACACTTTGAGGTGAGTACCAGCACTTTTTTTTCTAGGAAAAAAAAAAGCCCTGGGGATACCCAAGATTAATATTACGTGGGAATGGGATAGGACAAATTGAGATTGTTTACCATATATAGAGTAATCAGTGAACAGTTTGCCCACTTAGAGAGAATGCCTTGTGACACCATACCATACAAAGCATACATGGAAAGAGAAGAAGGACGTAGAGCACGGGGTAGACCAAGAACAAGATGGAAGGATAACATCAGAGAAACTCTACAACAGCACGATGTGCCTATGGGCGAGGCAGCCAGAAGAGCTAGAAACAGAACCTTATATCTCCCTCGACACCCACAGCGGTAAAAGAGGAAGTGAAGAAGAAGTGAACATTGACAGTCCTTGAAAAACATAAATGCAAAAATACAACATGTGAGGTGAGGTGTATAAAAATGCAGAGGGAACAACAAGAAGAGACAATTGGCAATAAAGATTTAAGAGCAATGGTAGGCACAGTTCCGGTAAATGATTTAATAGATTTCAAAGTGTCGAATGGTTTGGTCATCTGGTGGGAATGAAATAAAATCAGCCAGCAGCTAGAGGGTACTACATGAGAACAGCAGGCTACAAGGTAAAAGACTGATCAATAAAGAAATTGGTGGAGGGAGTAACAGAAATGCAAAAAAAAATGCAGTAAAACATTAACACAAACTACGCAATTAGCAAAAGACATAAAACTACATACAGCTCCTCTGTGCATGGGCAGTAAGGCAAAAGAAGAAGAAGAATTACCACGCAATAGGTTGTTTCGTACTGAAAGAGTTGACTTTTTTTTTCCTCTCATAACATTTAATCTTGCGTGCATCACTAAGATGAGGCATACCACACAGTTGGGAACCACTGACAAGTAAATACAAGTACTTGTCATCTTATCAGTCCAGAGATAAATGTGGACATTGGACCAGTTTTCACCCTACCACATTAGATTGCACTTTCTTGTATCTGTTTCAGATCTTGGTTAAATTTTGTGCCAGTGAGTCTGTAGTAAGTATATTTCTACATTGTAACTGTCTGTGGTTCCTGTATTCACAACCTTCCACATTAGGTTATAGATCTTGTTTCTGTTTTATATCTGAGTTTAATGTTGCACCACTAAGTCAGGGATAAGTATATTTCTAAATTGTAACTGTCTTTGGTTCCTGTGTTCACTACTTTTCACATTAGGTTATAGATCTTGTTTCTGTTTTAAGTCAGGGATAAGAATATTTCTACATTGTAACTGTCTTTGGTTCCTGTGTTCACCACTTTTCATATTAGGTTATAGATCTTGTTTCTGTTTTATATCTGGGTTTAATGCTGCACTGCTAAGTCAGGGATAAGTATATTTCTACATTTTAATTATCTTTGGTTCCTGTATTCATCACTTTCCACATTAGGTTATAGATCTTGTTTCTGTTTTATATCTGGGTTTAATGTTGCACCACTAAGTCAGGGATAAGTATATTTCTACATTGTAACTGTCTGTGGTTCCTGTATTCACAGCTTTCCACATTAGGTTATAGATCTTGTTTCTTTTTTAAGTCAGGGATAAGTATATTTCTACATTGTAACTGTCTTTGATTCCTGTGTTCACCACTTTTCACATTAGGTTATAGATCTTGTTTCTGTTTTAAGTCAGGGATAAGAATATTTTTACATTGTAACTGTCTTTGGTTCCTGTGTTCACCACTTTTCACATTAGGTTATAGATCTTGTTTCTTTTTTAAGTCAGGGATAAGTATATTTCTACATTGTAACTGTCTTTGATTCCTGTGTTCACCACTTTTCACATTAGGTTATAGATCTTGTTTCTGTTTTAAGTCAGGGATAAGTATATTTCTACATTTTAACTGTCATTGGTTCCTGTATTCACCACTTTCCACATTAGGTTATACATCTTGTTTCTGTTTTATATCTGGGTTTAATGTTGCACCACTAAGTCAGGGATAAGTATATGTCTACATTGTAACTATCTTTGGTTCCTGTGTTCACCACTTTCCACATTAGGTTATAGATCTTGTTTCTGTTTTAAATCTGGGTTTAATGTTGCACCACTAAGTCAGGGATAAGTATATTTCTACATTGTAACTATCTTTGGTTCCTGTATTTAGCAATTCCCACTCTGCCAAATTGGGTTATAGATCTTATTTCTGTTTCATATCTTGGTTACATTTTGTGTTTTTAATTTTGCGCCTGTAGGTCTGAGGTAAGAATATATCTACATTGTAACTATCTTCAGAGCTGTATTTATCCCTTTCTACTTTGCCACATTAGGTTGTAGGTTCTGTTTCTTAGTTTAATTTGGTGGTGTCAATCTTGCCTCTGTGCCCCTGCATTTACCACTTTTCACTCTGACTCTTAAGGTAACATTTCTTGTGTCTCATGGGTTAAATTTTGTGCTATTAAGTTTTGTATAGAGGGGGGGGGGGGGGGGGGGGGGGGGGGGGGGGGGGGGGGGGGGGGGGAGGTGGTTCAGCATCTGTGGAGTATGCGTAGTGAACATGCTTCATAAAGCCGGGGTGCCAGGTTTAATCCCAGGCAAGAGTGATTTGGTAGTAGAATGTTGTGCATTAGTTTCAACAGTGGTACTGAGAGCTGACCGTTCAGAGCAAACTGCTGAATGTAAAATATGCCTAGAAAAACCACCACAGCCAACAAATGTTGGGGTTGGTTCTGCAACGTCCTGTAAAGGATGCACAGTTAACTCTTTGTTTTAATTTGTTGTGTGTGGTAAAGTCTGTGGGAAGTATGTTTCTACATAGTAAGTTTTTTTTAAAAAGTGTGAAGTAAGTAAAGAGCTTTTTTTCTTGCATTGGTCATTTGTTAAAGGCCCCATAAATATGTAGATCAACTGGTACTTGATAGATAATGTTGTCAACATCATATTTGCTGTTTTTACTTCCCAGGGCATACCTTGTACCCATTTTAGATAGGTCCAGCATTGAACCCGAGAGCTGTCTAGTCACTTGCCTGCCATCTCAAAGATCTGGGGTTTTTTTTTTTTTTGGCTAACTGGCTGTAAACTCCGGCAGAAAGTTCTTGTTCTTCGCCCACCACCCCACTTTAGGCTTGTTTCAGAGCCTAAGTGTTGCATCCCCATCCGTTTAAAGAGCTGGCTTATTTGTATGCAGACTGTTGGTTCTGTGCCTCTTAACCAGGAGCACTTCAAAGGATGCCCCCCCCCCCCCCCCTCATAAATTGACTACTGCAACATGCTTGTTAGGGAGGTTGTGGGTCTATTCTTGTCCACCTCCCCCCCCCCCCCCCCAATCACCCCTCACAATGACGACCCAAAACCCATATGGTGAGGTCTTATGTTCAAATGTGCAGGCATATTTGGGGAAATTAATAACTTTGGCTCGCATATCAGTTTAACTATAAATGGGTGTCCAGCAGTATCCTGGAAAGTAAAGGCAGCCATGAGAAACTGACCACATCACCCTTCGAGTGTCAATTGCTCAACAACAACAAAAATATGAGCCTGGCATCATATGCCTGGCATGCCACTGGTATAAAAATGGACCTTTACTTGTATCTTGTTAACCTCAAGTAAAGCAAAGGATCCCCCACCTTCAGGCGGATCGGGCATATAAGGCTAGAACTCCATTTTATGGATCAGTCGGCACTTGGTTGTTAACATAAAGCTCATATGATCTTGTGAAAAATCTGTGTTGATTTAGATTTGAACCAATGAACATTAGGATGGTAGGAAAGTATGCTAGCTGCTGCTCTCCCCTACCCCCGGTTATCTTATTCTTTTTTTTTTCTTGTCACATTCACTGGTTGTAAACTCCAGTGGTTTTGGTTGTTCATTGATTTCTGAACTATGATCTTCTTCCAGAATATGAGACTATTTTGTCCCTGTTTGTATGCAGATTGTTGGTTCTTCACCTATCAGGCAGACAAACTCCGCTTTGAAGGAAACACTTCTAATTAGTCACTTTTAATGTCATGCTTGCTATTATTGCAAAGGGCCTATTCCACCCCCCCCCCCCCCTTTTCCCCCTTTTCCAACCACAGTGGTTATTCATAACCCAAACAGGAAGCTGGCAATGAAAGAAAGAGTTATCAGGGATTTTAGTGCATTACTATTGGTCATTTATATAATTCAACTTTCAATTGACTTTCTTTTATTCCTAGTAATAACATTGTTGATTAACCATTGGCTCATAATACAGATATGGAGATACAGTTTAACGGAAAGAGAGCTCTGGTGACAGGAGCAGGCAGAGGTAAGAATTAGCATTTAGATTCTCTCTTTTTTTGGTATCTCCCACTGTCTCCAAGTTTTTAAAGGAGAAAATAGAGAGCTGAATATCAAGGACGGTTGGCTAATAAATAATGTCTTGTCTCGGAAGCTGTAGTATTTTGGCCATATAAAGTGTCAATTAATAGCAGAAGGCATGGTACCAGGATGGAGGGACCAGGATTGACCCCCACGAAGATGAAAGTACATAAAGTAGGAGAGCTGGTGAGAGACTGAGTTTCTTTCAGGCAGACCATGTTGAGAGCAACGTTCTGCAAAGGACCTGCTACATGATGATTATTACTTTTTTTTTCTTTAAGCACTGCATGAACATTTCAGGGATAACAACCAAGTAAACGGCAGGAATGCACTACTTAGAACCCAGGTGACATTAAATAGTATAGTTACATTCATCCTTTCAGTATTAACACTAATTAAACTTTGGCAGCCATTATGTCACTAAGTAACCTCAGCATAAGATTTAGAATGAAAGGATTAACTTTATCAAAACGTGGCCACAAATGACAAAAGATACTGTGGTGACAAACCTTTTATTAGTAAATTGAAACTACATTTTATTCTTGTAAATCTTATTTTCTTGTGCATCAGATTTGATTTTTGTTTAAGACTAATGTTAAGTTTTGGTACCCACTGGGGGATGGGGGGGGGGGGGGGGGGGAATAGATCCACTGCTCCTTAACAAACATGCCAGGAAAGGCAACTGAAATTGCTGCAATCGGATGTTAGATCAAAAGTCACAGATATCAAGCCTGATTGTTAACCACAACTTAATGTGCCAGCCAACTTTTAAGGTTGAACATAGAGGAAGAAATGTATGTTTCTACACAGCTTTAACATAGTTATCTCTACTTCCTGTTGTTTCTAACCATTATTAAGTAAACTGATGTTTTACCATTTTTTCTCCAGGGATTGGACGGAGTATTGCACTTAAACTTGCAGAATGTGGGGCCAAAACAGTAGCACTGAATCGATCACAGGGAGATTTGGATAGTTTAAAAAAGGAGGTAATTTTGAATTTTTTTTCTAATTTAGCCCATTCTCCATATAAAAATCTTATTAAAATGAATATTCTCAAAATGTAATTTAAAAGAAATTCATTGTTATAATTCTCAGAAACTATACACACACAAGCACACATGCACTCACACACCCACACACACACCCACACACTAGAGGAAGTGAATAAGAACAAAAATAAATAATGTCCAGTTTTTAACAAAAATGTCCCCATATGCCATCGCCTACAGCACCATCAGACCTTTCCTGGCTCAATGACATTGACCACTTGATTCATGTTTGACAAGTATCTGTCGAAATTATGCCAGGGTATCTCACTGTGTTTGTTCTGTCGATATCTATACCGCATATGCTAATGACTAGCATAGAGGTACTGACAGTGTGGATATTCAAGGAGAACAGTGTTCAAGAAGCCTTTTCCAGGTTTACCTGTGCGCTTGATTCCTAGAACCACTCACTGAGTTGGTCTAATTCATGCTGCAGCGTTGTTGTAATTTCATCCCTGTTGTTTCCTTGTCAGTATACAAGGATATCATCTGCAAATAACATTCTTCTATCCAGACCTACTGTCTGTGTACTGGTGACTGATGATGTGTACACATTAAAGAGAAGGGGAGACAGTAGGGATCTCTGGAGCAAGCCCTTTAAGATGCTGTGAGGTTTCAATGCTCATGCACTGCATCTCATCGACACTATTCTTTCAAAGAGCACAGTTGACCCTTTTCGTCTCTGTGTCCACATCCGTCATCAGTCTGATGAGCATGTTGTTTAGAACACTATTGTACACGTCTTCTAAGTCAGTGGCGGCTGCAGCAGTTTCCATTCCTGTCTGGAAACCCTCATATGTGTCGTAAGCAAATACTGCAGTATTACACCAAGTATCTCTGTCCGGGCAGTACCACCCTAGGGTGGGTGCCAAAATACCACTTGACTTTTTGGTCAGCTTTCTGGCCATGTTTTTTTTTTCTTTATGGGTTTTCTTAGTGTGTCCAGAAGTGTATTGATTCTATTGCAGTTTACTTTTGTCATGATCTTTCCCAGGCTTAGGAACGGGTCTGAGGGAGCAGTGGAGCCAGCCATCGGGGACAATGCCGCTTTTGAGGCTGTTGTTAAATGCCCTGGATTATTCTGTTGTGTTTGTTTCCTCGAGGCATTTGAAGTCACTGTATCTGATGTCATCGGGCCCTGGGGCTGTGTCAGGACAGGTCTTCAATATAGCTCTGATGTTTGCAACAGAGATGTACACTGTGTCATCTTCTCCATCCATTTCAGCGATGTGCTTGTCGTAGACTGTTTGATTCATCTGCTATATCTCATCTCTGTCTGTCTTTTCAGTTTGCGGTATAAATCTGTGCAGGTGTGCCTCACCTTTTGTCTTTTTCATATCTTAAGATCACCACACTGTCCATCTTTAATTCAGGCGTATTACAGGATTGTTTGCCGCCAATCATACTAGAATTTCATGAATGATTTTTCATACTGTATTTCACTGCAAAATGTCTCCCTTGTGGTGTGCTTAGCCTCCCTCGCAGTTTGTTTAAAGTGTTCAGTATCTTTTCTTTTTTTCATAGCTTGCTTGTGAGCATCAGACAGTCTCAAAGAAATTCTGCATTTCTCACATTCCTTGGTGGCACTTCATTTTTCTGTCTATACCTTGGTGACATCAGGCATCCACTGTGGAGGGTTGTTGACACACTTCTTCCTCCCCAGTGTTCTGTGTACTCTCTCTCTCTCTCTCTCTCTCTCTCTCTCTCTCTCTCTCTCTCTCTCTCTCTCTCTCTCTCTCTCTCTCTCTCTCTCTCTCTCTCTCTCTCTCTCTCTCTCTCTCATAGACACCCCATTACATCAGTCTGGTGTCTTAAATATGGCATCTAGGTCTCTGTACATTTTGTTTTTCTTGACCACTAATGAGCTTGGAAGGTGGTCGCTTCCGTGATGTCTCATTATGCCCCACTCGCCGAGTGTGCTCATGTTAGGGGAGACCAGAGCGAGATCGAGGGCGTTGTTTGTACTGCCCTCTCTGTCAGGGATTCTGGTGCATTTGCCATCGTTCAGGCAGATCAACTCTGTGTCAGTGCCTCACCCTGTTTGTTGGCCGTGCTGTTGCCCCATATCCGTAGCCGACCCCTTGCATTAAAGTCACCACACATGATGATATTGGTATTTAACTGATCTCATATTTCAGTTAAGGCTCTCCGCTTCTCTTGGTCTATCTTATTATTGCAGGTGTAGATGTTAACTGAAATGAAGTGTTTACTTCACTGCCTGCACCTGAATGTCATTGATGCTCCAAGCTCTTGTACCTACAGCTGAGGATCTTATCCCACACTTAACAAGGGTGGCCTGACCCAGTGTCTGCTGTGATAATTTTGGAAGCCTGAAACTTTGAATACTTCCTCTGTGTTTAATCACGTCTCCTAAAGCGCAATCACATTAGCATCATGTATTAATTTCTTCAAGACTGGACCTCTCTATCTTGCACTTCAGCAGTTCCAGTACAACATGCAGAGGTGACTCTTGCAGAGGCCTTCTGATTAGGATTGATTTTTGCCTGCACCAGCATGTCTGTTGCGTCTCCATCTATACTCTCCTCTCATCCTTCTGTATTTGTACCTGTATCAGATCTCAGCACGAATGCAAAAACTCTGTAGCTACGGCAAGGATCGAGGTTATAAAAATTGTCTGCCACATTTAATTAATACATTAGTGCGGGTTTATTAATGGTCACCTCACTAATGCTGGGGAATGGCCAGGACATAATGTCCATCAGCCAGAAGTCACCCCTGCACAACCTTATTGCCTTTGTTAATGTGCTTGCCCCCCCCCCCTCTACCCCCAACAAACAAAAAAACATCGGTGCAGTTCATTGGTACAAAGGAAATGCATTAAACTTGTGGCATTGATTACCGACTCCCCACATGTCCATATACATGTGTCACTGATATGTGTGTGTGTGTGTATGTATGTGTATATATATATGTATATAATCATACCCACTATATCTACACACTTTATGAGGATAATTATAGAAACGTTTTCTCTTTATGAGGGTTTTGATTTGCCGCTATTTGCGGGAGACAGTGATGTCTATTTAGTTTCTAATGGCAGGAGTCCATTGAGTAAAGTTTGTAATCGTTAAGACCGTCCATACAGATAATAGAGATTTATTATCATACATATAATAATCATCATCATCTTGTGACGTGTACTGTGAATGACATTAAAGTTTATGTGGCCTGTCACAAGCGTTAGTGTTGACTCGTCAGTATAGTCACAACTAGGAGGGGGAGGGGGGGGGGGCAGGGTATTGAGTAAGCAGAGGACCATTTTGATGCTTTAGGCAGGTTAGGTGTAGGGTGATAGTTAAAACATCAGAGGAAGACCATAAGAAACAACATAGATGACCTGACAGACGAATGAGAACTACTTCTTCTGATCTTTATCCCTTAATGGAGGGCAGGTCCTATGCCAGTTGGTCCTATGTTTTGCTACCGTATGTATGCACCTTATTAGAAGAGCCTCCGACATCTTGCTTGGCTAGTAATAGTTTCTCTTTTTGACTCTTCCAGTTTTGTTTGCTTTTTGTGTCTTTTTTTTTTTTTTTTTTAAATGAGATGAGGAGGACAAGCCCAACCCTGACCTTAATCGTCTTTTATGACATCCCTGGTAGGGTGCAGTTACTATTATTGCTTCTTGTATTCTGACTGAATCAGAACAACTGCGAAGACTGTATGACACTAGTGGTTGTGGGGGAAACTGAACCTTGACCATCATTGCTTATCTGCACAATACCTGATGATGATATCAAGTTCCAAAACAAGGCTATTTCTAGTTCAGGGAAGACGACTCTTGTATAGTTCTTCGCTTCGTTTGTTCTGGAGCCCCCAACAAGCATGTCATAAAAGTCCGCTAATTAAGGGTCGTACCTTTGAAGTCTTAACCGAGGAACTGGCTGTCTGCAAACAAATAAGCCAGATCTGTAAAACGGATGTGCATCCAAACTCCAATTCTGGAAAAAGACTAGAGTCCATAAGTGAACAAGGAGCCAGAAAGAACTTTCTACTGGAGTTTACAGTCAGAGAACAGTCAGAAGAAGAAGTATAAGACTGTTCTACTTTCAAGTCATCGCAATATCTCTCAAGAGCCACAGTAGCAAGATGAGTGCCCTCCACCCCATAGTTATTTGGTTTGAACCTCCATCAGGGCAGATCTTTATAAAAAAAACCTGAGCTTCCAGGCCGACCCAAATTAAACTGGGTATCAGGAAATGTTCTGTGAAGCAAAGTTGGCTGGCATGATGTTGATCACATTGCCCATCATCATCTTGTTACAAGACCTTTGGAGAACGTTGCTCTCATAATAGTCTCTTGCCAGCTCTACTTCCTTGCACACTTTCCTATCAAAACTGTCACATATATCATGTGCCCATCTTTCCTAATACAGTGCCTTTTGCTATTATTTTTTCCTTTCCGCCGCAATGCTTATTATGGTCACAGTATTTTTTCCAAGATAAAATGCTTTTTACTAGTCAGTCTTGATGTTCAGATTTGTAAGGATTTCACATTTTTTGGTATTCTGAGTCTTTCTATAGCATTTCACAATACCCGTCAAGTACTTACTGATTTAGAATAATTTGAGTCTTCATTATCTGCCTAAAGCATCACTGATGTGAAAAGTTCTCTCTCCTTACTTTTTTAACTTCACATTTCACATTCATCATGTGTTATCTGATGTCTAATCTACATTATATTTTTTCTTCCAATTTCTGAATGACAGTGTCCATCTATTGAGACTTGCCAGGTTGACCTCAATGACTGGTCAACTGCCCGAACGGCCATTGAGGCCCTGGGCCATTTCGACTTGTTGGTAAACAGTGCTGGTGTTTCCAGGGTTGGCCCCTTTCTAGACGTCAAGGAGGAGGATTTCGACTTGTGAGAGCATACAGATAGTTCTTGATTTGTGCTGTTGTTTGAATTATTGTACCGGTGCAGAGGTGCTTGACCACGCAAAGTGGAGCACTGGGACCACGCAAAGTGGAGCACAGGGACCACACAAAGTGGAGCACTGGGACCACACAAAGTGGAGCACCAGGGCTACGCAAAGTGGAGCACAGGGACCACACAAAGTGGAGCACAGGGACAATGCAAAGTGGAGCACGGACCACGCAAAGTGGAGCACTGGGACCACGCAAAGTGGAGCACTGAGACCAGGGCTCATGCTTAAAAAGATGTAGACACCATTGTACATTGTTATATACACACTGTAATATTATGTTCGACACTTTTTATTTCAATTACTCCCTGTGTGGGTTCTGGGGCCCCATTGTGGGGAAAACAAGAATAGACCCACTGCCTTCCTAGCAAGCATGTCGTAGGAATCGACTATCTTGGGACTTCCTTCGAAGTCGGAGTGCATCTGCCCGAGCGGCAAGGAACAACCAACTGCACACAAATAAGCCAGTTAAACAGATGTACATGCAAAACTCAGGTCCTGGCACAAAGCCAAAGTCCAAAGGGATGAACAGCCAAGAGTTTTTGCCTCAGCTGACAGCCAGTGAACAAAGAAGAAGAAGATTTCAATAATATGTACCTGAAAATGTTACGGCACAGTTGACCTATACCAAAAACAATCATTAATCAATGTATATTCCACACCAAAATGTTGCAATGTTTGATTCTGTATAAGAAATCCAACTTTTGCGCCATAGTTAATCAATAATAATAATCAGTAAATGCAGTCACCCTAATGTCTGTATGAACCCCCGACAGAATTTATAAATTCTTATTTCGTCCTTGCAATGGTTGTCTTCAACAGCACTGAAACACTTGCGGTGCAATATATGAGTTTGGCTTTTTGTTTCCTAAGAATTTTACTCACCATCATTTATTATTATAATTGAGCTTTTACACACCATTAAATACAAAGAAATAAAAAATCCAATTAGCACTAGAAATCCTATAGAATGATGATGATGATAAATGTACAGTTAATTTCAAATTAGCAATGGGGAATCCTTTGGATTGAAGATGATGAACCTGAAAACAGTTCAGCGTTTATAATACAACCTTTTTAAGACTAATGACGAATCTGAAAATAATTTACATTAGCAATATCAAATCTTTCAGACTAACGGTGCTGATGAACTTAGCAATAATTCGAAATTAACAATATCAACTTTTTCAGATTGATGATGATGATGAATCTGGAAATCATTCAAAATTAACCCCTGAAGATTCCTTGAAACTATAATAATGTTGGGAGTCGCCGTGGCCAAGCGGCTAGACGCTCGCCGTTGATCCGAAGGTCGTGGGCTCGCTCCCTGGCGGAGCCGGACAATTTTTAAAAATGACCTTGGCTGCCAGGTCGACCCAGCCTTGAGTGGGTACCAGGTGCAGTCCCGGGATGTAAAGGCGGCCAGCGTGATGCTGACCACATCACCCATCTTGTGCCGATTGGTCTATACAAATATAGGTCTAGCCCTATATGCCCTATACCCCTAAAGGCATGGAAAAGGTTCCTTTGCTTACTTTTACTTATGATAATGTTGATAATAAATTACCATTCGTAAAACAAGAAGTTAAATCGGCATAAACTCAAAATAACACTATTATTTATATCAGTCAAGTAAATGTCTAATAATAACGTTAATCCCAAAACAGTATTAATAATATTATAGGGCTTCAGTTTGTAACACGTTTACCATGTGTAAACATAAACAGACCCACTGCCTACCCTAAAACATGTCGTAAGAGTCGACTAATTGGGAGCTTCCTTTGAAGTCAAGAGTGCATCTGCCTGAGACGCAAGAAATCAACAGTCAGATCTATAAACATAATGTGCATGCAGCACTCAGGTTCTGGAACAGGACTACAGTCCAGAAGTGGACAAACAACCAGAACTTGTCACCTGAGTTTACAACTGGTGAATGCAAAGAATGAAAAAAAAAATTAACTGTAAGACATAGGGTATGGTGGGCCTTAGAGGCTATGCGAAAGAAATTAATACTAAACATGGCTCCGCGAGTCAAAATAGTTGGGAACCTGAGTTAGATGACACTCATTTACTAAATATACCTTAATTATGTAAACGTAGGCCCATAGAAAATAGTCCCTTTGTATATATGAAGTGGTAGACCCTTGACCCTTACACATTAGAGGCTACAGTATATTGAGAAAACCGCAACCTACCTTCTTTATGAAAATGAAAAAGTTTAGATCTCAAGTGATTAGGCTAAACAGTTAGAGTAGCAAAAATTAATATGTATGTTTTTTCTTTCCAGCGTGTTTAACACGAACATCAAGGCCCTGTTTAATGTGTCTCAGGTAATATTTTATTGCAGCTTTTTGTAAAATTGAACTTTTTATGCTTTTAAAAGAACTCTTTTTTCATGCAGACATAGTGTCTAAGTTTCCCCAACAATGTTCACTTTTTTGTGTGCCCTAAAATTTTCTTCATCAATGTCAGTATGTCATTACACATCTCATGCTGTCAGAATATTTAAATCTGTCATGGGTGTTTCCAGGTAAATGTTCCCCCTACATTATATAGTCTTTTTTTTTATGCCCTAAATTCTTTTCCTCAGCTGAATCATATCATTTACACATCTTATGCTCACAGAATATTTACAGTGCTAACCTGTCATGGATGTTTCCAAGGAAACACTCCCCTTGCACTATCAAATTGTTTGTGTGTTCCAAATTCTCTTAATCAGTATTAATCATGTCATTACACAGTTCATGCTCTTATAATAATTACATTTCTAATCTGTTAGTTGTTCCCTACAATATCGATTTGTCTTTTAAATGCTCCAGATTCTCTTACTCAATATTAATCATCTCATTACAGATCTCATCCTTCTTCTTCTTCTGCCTTTTTATCCCCCAATGGAGCATAGGCCCTCAACCAACTCACGCCAAGTCGTTCTATCCTTCGCCATTACATGGAGCTCTCCCCATGTCCTCCTAATCTTTCTAACCTCATTCTCCAGCTCTCTTCTCCATGTGTTTTTTGGCCTTCCTTTATTTCTCCCTATATCATAGAGAGTTCTAACATTCCAGGTGCCAATTCTGGAGGTTTTCCTAGCTGAGAGGAGGTAAGTCAACGATCCGGACTCCTTACGGCTTTCTCCACACCGTGTCATACTTCTTCTATTTGAAGAGCCTCTCCTCATCTTGGTTGGCTGGAGTTTATTTGCTTCTCTTTTTGACTTATCCATGGTTGGTTGGTTTTTGTGGCTATGGTTTTTACAGGATGAGGTAGCCAACCTCACGCCCAACCCTACCCTTAGTCGCCTCTTACGACATGCCTGGTAGGGTGCAGTGTCACTATTCTTTGCTTCCCGTGAGGGCCCCGGTGACACACGGGCGCCCTTGGGGTGTAGAAATGTGCCAGAGAGATCAACAGACCCTGGGCAGCCATGGGTGTCTGGTTCCCTGTTTCTTGCTGATTCTCTTACATCTGCTTACATGTCCAAACCACCGTAACTGTGACTGATCCATACGAGTTTGTAAGTCCTGGGTTTCAATTTCCGGATGTATTGTCTGATTGCTAACTTTGTCACTTGGACCACCTTTCTCCGATATTTCGTTTCTGAGGCCTAAAATTGGCTTCCATCAGCTGTTGTTATTGCCCAAGACTCACACCCCTAGGTAAGGACTGGCACATAGTTGAAGCGGAAAACAGCCTGTGAGAATATTTACCTTGCTAAGCTGTTATGGTTGTTCCCAAGTAAACACCTAACACAAATCCCAGACCACGTATGGCTAGAATCCTACACTATGACACATGCCTTCATGTGTATTGGTATATGGTGGTCTTACATCCATTTTTATAGTGATCAATTAGCACTTGCTTGTTGGTGTGGTCAGTATTTTGCCAGCCACGGTTATATTCCAGAACGGGAGAGTACAGGAAAAAATCTATGTTAATGGGAAATTGAACTCATAACCATTTGACTGCTTTGGCTCCCACACATGGTAGAATCTAAAGTAGAGCATGTAATAGCTCTTGAAGCTAGACACCTGCAACGTGTTCTACTGTAGCTGTCCCATATGCTATTACGACTTTTTATATTATATTAAGAAGTTTGGGAAAGTACAAGATTGCTGCTTAACATGCCAGCAAGGCATTTTAAGTATATTGTGGCTGGCTGTTTCCAGATGGTCCAGAAAAACAGTGTTGGCAGTAACAATGGTATTATGTTGTCTTCAGTGGAAAAACTACACCTGTGCTTGCTTGCTTTCTCTTTTTCTGCATTTGCAGTTGAATAGGCTGTTGCACATTATGTTGTTGTTTTACAAGACTGTGATATCTGCGCCTGTCAACCCAACACGTTCGATTGCAATAAATCCTAACCATTTACCATTTATGGCATGCTTTTGAAAGAGGGAAAGTAAGTTTCCTCCTCCCCTTCTCCGAACTAACATGGAGAACTTGATTACTGATTTAGTCGGTTGATCCAGAAAGTTGAGGCAGGTTTCATGTGCAGTCACTGATCTGAAACCCTCTAAAACCCTGTAGAGACATGTAATCTTTCTGTCCAGCCAAGCTTCTGAATCAGAAAGTTAACCAATGGGTTAAGATGATGTCAACATCCTTAGAAACAAGACCAAACAAAGATTTTCAACTAGATGAAAAAAAAAGGGGGGCACTCCTCTAAATAATGGCCCCAAATTATCTAGGTCAAAAACCTACCCTTACAGGGCCCCAGTAGGTGTTTCTGTTTGAGTTGCATCCATAACCCTCTACTTGTTTGAGTGTTAGGGTTAGGGTTAAGATTGGGGCTAACCCTTACTCTAACGCCACCATGAGAATCTGTCTCAACAGTCCCACCGTGAAACTAACAACATCGGATGTTTGCAACTTGAACATTCTACTATGTTTCGTATTAATCTGTGTGTAGCAAGCCACTGCAACCTCTGTAGTTTATTATTTATTAATATATATAAGTCGGCAGGTCTAACATCTGCAGATGCCAGTTTATCAATCGGTAGAACATTATTGCTAATCTGTGTCGGAGCTGATCGTCTGCCTGCCATATTTGCTGGAAATAAATCCATCCTAATTTTACATATCATTGAGGCCCTTGCGGGTAGGATTTTAAGCAAGATCATGAGCAAAAAAAAATTCAGAGGACTGCCCAAAAAAGTACTGATTGTTAGCAAACAAGCATTCAGCTGAAGAGAGGAACATGACATAAGTTATAAAGTTCATTAGTCTGCATCTGACTGCCTCTTTAAGTCATTGTACTTTGATGGATTTACTGTTGAGGAAATTGGTGCAACCCGTCCTTATGTAGCAGGTCCTTTACAGCCTGCCTGAAATAAACTTGGTCCCTCACCAGCTCCCATGGCTTATCAACTTTACTGCCCCAAATGTCTCTTATGTCCCATGCATATTTATGCTGGTTGGCCTCTATCCCTCTTACCTGTACCCTGCCCTCCTCATCTGTTCTTTCAGCTCCACAATGATATTTCTTCTTCTTCTCTGCGTTCACCAGCTGTAATCTCTGGCAGTTTTGATCATTCATCCACCTCTTGTTTTAGAACCTAAGTGTTGCATGCAGATCTGTTTTACACGTCTGGCTTATTTGTATACAGACTGTTGATTCCTTGCCTCTCAGGCAGATGTACTCCTTTAACAGAACCCCCAATTAATCGACTCTTACTACATGCTTGTTGGGAAGGCAGTGAGTGGGTCTATTCTTGTTTTCCCCATAATTGGTCCCCAGAACTCACTCAGGGACAATGACATTTGATTTCATCAAACTACTTCAGTTTCTAATGCAAAATGCTGTTTACAAGTCAGTTATCCTTATCTTTATCATCATGTAGCAGGTCCTTTGCAAAAAATCGCTCTCATCACAGTCTGCCTGAAAGAAACTCGGTCTCTCGCTAGCTCTCCTGCCTTGTATTCAAGGAGTCACTTATATGCTGTGCCCATCTCCGTGCTGGTCAGCCTCTGCCCCTCCTTCCTGGTATCATGCCTTTTGCTATTATATTTTCCATCAGCATGGCGCTTGATATGACCACAATATTTAGCTTCCGAGACAAAATGCCATTTATTAGCCAATCTTCCTTGATGTTCGGATCTTTTAAAATATCAGTATTTCTTCTCTTCTTTGTCCATGGTATTCTTCTAGGATGTAAATATTTCTTTTTGTCTCAGTCCACTTTTTGTAAAATTTCAGCTCAGAAGCCCCAATTTTATGCCTCAGTGATTGCAAGATAATCCACGACTTACATCCGTGTGTTGCTACAGGAAAGATGCATGCTCTCTTATTCTTCTTTGCGTTCACCAGCTGTAAACTCTGGTGGAAAGTTCTGGTTGTTCGTCCACTTCTGGACTGCAGTCTTGTTCCAGAACCTGAGTGCTGCGTGTGCATCCGTTTTACAGATCTGACACATTTGTGTGCACAATGTTGGTTCCTTGCCTCTCAGGCAGATGCACTCCGACTTCGAAGGAAGCTCCAATTAGTCGACTCTTACGACATGCTTTTGGGTAGGCTGTTAGTCTATTCTTGTTTTCCCTATAATAGGGCCCTGGAACCCACATGGGGGATGCTTGCTCTCAAAAGTTAAACTTTGGTTTGCTTGCTGGTGCTTAACCATAGAATTATAGACTATTAATCCATCTACGGGGATTAATGAAGAATTGACATCACTGTACTAGGGACAGTCCTATATGATTAGCTTCCATGCTGATGGTATAAGAAGCATAACAATAGAAAATACACTGAACTTGTCTCTTGCAAGTTGTCATCTATCCTTTTTGTTCACTCGCCATTGAATTAGTCTTGCCAAGTATAGATTTTCCATTTTAAACATTGAATATCATACAGCTTTTTGTTTTTTAAATCTATTTTTGTTTTCGGGGCTCCATGGGGAGAATAATAAACCCACTGCTTCCTAACACACTTGTTGGGAAAGACAACTAACTAGGGGTGTTTCCTTTGAAGTTGGAGTGCTTCTGCCTGAGAGATGAAAAACCATCAGTCTGCATTCAGATAAACCCGACCTGTAAAATGGATGGTCATGTAAAACTCAAGTTCTGTGAACCAGACCCCAAAAATAGATGGACAACCAGAACTTTCTGTCAAGAGTTTACAGCCAGTGAGCGCTAAGGAGAAGATATAACTAAAAGAGTTTAAATTGTTTATTTCTTTCTGAAACTGTACAGGCAGTTGCTCGATCGATGGTGAAAAACAAAAGTGGTGGAGCTATTGTCCATTTATCTAGCGCTGCTTCCAAGCAGGCCATCAAGGATCATGCGGTGTACTGCTCCACAAAAGGGGCAGTAGATTCTCTGACTTCTGTGATGGCTCTGGAACTTGGGCCCCATAAGGTATGTTCGAATCTCTTATATCATTGTCAAAAAATATAAGCTCCAAAACAAGTTGTTTTTTAATGACTTTACGGTATGTCTGCACAGTTTTTCCAAAGTGAGTTGACCTGATTTAAAAACTGACTTTCTCGAGTGAGGCTATAGTGATCTATAAACACTATATTTTCTTCGGCATTTACACAAATTTTAAATATGGAATGAAATGACTGTAAGTTGAATGAGGTCTACACAGGTAAATCAAAGTATTTACTCTAAATGATCAACCCAGCTTTAAAAATAGGTATCAGGAAGATTGGCTATTAAACAGCATCCTGTCTCGGAAGTTGAATGAGGTCTACACAGGTAAATCAAAGTATTTACTCTAAATGATCAACCCAGCTTTAAAAATAGGTATCAGGAAGATTGGCTATTAAACAGCATCCTGTCTCGGAAGTTGAAATATTTTGGTCATATCATGCGCCACGACAGATTGGAAAAAAATTATAGCAGAAGGCATGGTACCAGGAAGGAGGGGCAGGGGCCGACCGACACGAAGATGGGCACAGGATATTAGTGACTCCTTGAGTATGAAAGTACATAAGGCGGGAGAACTGGCCAGAGACCGAGTTTCTTTCAGGCAGACTGTGATGAGAGCGACGTTCTGCAAAGGACCTGCTACATGATGATGATGATGATCAGGAAATGGCCTATCAAGGGCTGATTGGTATTAAACAATACACCTAAAACACCAAGACTGTTTGCAAACAGGATGAGTTAAACATATGCAAAGTATAACATGAGAAAAAATACCACTAAAACTAAAGCAAGGCAAGTCAGTAGAATTCCTAGTCCGCTACATGTAGGGTTGAAAGATATATAAGGTAAAAGTTATTGACTACGAATGCTGGCCCTCTTAACAGAAAATGTTCCAGATACAGGCCTTTCATAGTGAATTTTTTATTTTGCAAAGGTTAATGGTAAATTATTTATAGTGACACCATAAAAAAACCAGTATAATATTTATGATGTAAATCAATGCTTCATTTATTTTTATTGCCAGACAAGCTAAGTATGCAGAGCAATATTTTATTAATTTGCCAATGTACGCTAAATAATTTATTAATTTCTGATCTACTTTAAATCTGTTCCGTCAAGTTTCTGATGCACGCTAAAAATTTGTGTACTAAAGTTTAGTAAATTCTATTGTGTTTTCGAAGTGTTAATATTAGCCATATAGACACTAGCAGTTAGTTTTAAATGCAGCTTTTCCTGTGATTTGTTTATTTTCAGATCCGCACAAACTGTGTGAATCCCACGGCAACCATGACAGCCATGGGATTGTATGCCTGGGGTGACCCTGTCAAATCAAAACCTCTGCTGGACAGAATACCTCTTGGGCGTTTTGCAGGTAATTTGTTTCTAAACAGTGACTGAAGTATGTGTTTCTAATGTTGGAAATGCCTTGCCACTTATGAAAAAATAATTATTATTTAGTTTGGTTTTTTTTTTCAAATATTTTGACTCCAAGTTCAAGATATACTATTCCTCCTTTAGAGAATGTCACATAATACAGAAACAAAAACTGCATACAGAATAGAATAGAATGGAAGTAGATCACAAGGTAGATAAATAAGATGGTGGAGAGATACGTTATGTTATCACAATAGATGTCACTGCACACCAGGCACTCCCGTGTGTGCTCAGTCCTCTGATGCAGCAGCCACTCCAAGGTACCTGTACTAATTGTTCCCATGAGAGGTTGGTTATACTGTCTCCTATCTCAGCCTCCAAGACGTGCTTCACCATGATTTACTCCCATGTTACGCAGTTGTATTAATATCAGAGATTCGTCATTATCCACTAGCCCAGTCAATACAGCACTGATGATATCTGCTATGTCCATGCTTCTTCCCACATGCGTTGGTGCATTGCTTGCCAGTTAGTCTGCTCGCTATTTCCCTTTACGCCAGCATGACCAGGTGAGAGAGGTTAAGTGCGATTTTTGAATGCTTTCTACCCATTCAGAGCGCATACCGCTTGTTGCTGTCTTCTAAAGCATATTCATGGAGTCTGATAGGAAAGATACAGGTAGACCTTCAGACATAGAACTCAAAATTATTTAGTTTTAAAATCAAGTTAGGTATTTTCATTTTTAATGTTTTATTTTTAAGGTATGCCATTGAAAGTCTGAGAATCACTGAAGACACTGAACGTTGTTAAATGCATTCGAAAACAAATGCTTGTGGAAAATGACAAACATAAAATGGAATGAATTCAAAAGGAGTGAAGAAAATATCTGGGCAACCATTAGTATCAACAGTTTTAAGAGAGATCAGATTGCACTATAATGGACACATCCTGAGAAGTAACAGACTCACCAAACAGGCACTACAATGGGAAATAAGGGTTAAAATTAAAGAGGCAAGGATGTCCAAAGGAAAACCTAAACGAACATTGATAAGTGAGACCAAAATTGTTGATTGCCCAGGATGGATAGAACAGAATGAAGGAATCAACTGCCAGCCCTATGTGACGTTTAATAACACAAGAGGACAATGAGACCTTCGAACGCTTGCAGCCATCAACTGGAAAAAAAGAAGGCAAATCACAGGGGGGAATGGAAGCAGGTAATATCTGCTTAAATGAACCTGTGGCTCAAAACGCCGAAGAAGATCCCTTGCATAGTTTCTTGGACCCCTGGAGGGTGGTGTGTGTGGGGAAAGCGGAGGAGGGGGGGGGGGGGGGGCGACAACACTAACTGCCTGTTAACAATAGTCTTTAAGGGCACATTTCCAATAAATATTGTATGTGTGCTAATTACTTTAAATAACAAGAAGATGCTTCTTCACTTGCTTGACTGCACTGGGTGTTGATGAGATATACAACTCTGGTTCTGACTTTTCTGATTGCCTCAGCTGTACTTTTAATACTGTTGAGTTTCTTGGATGCTATCTTTGCATATTTTTTTTCATAGTCTACTTTGGGCTGTACCCCCTCCCTTTTGGTAAATGCCTTGCATGGTATGACATATCAAGGCATTCTGTCTAAGTGAAGAATCTATTTTATTTGCTGTCTTTGAACATAATTTATGTAAGTTACCCTCTGTGTCTAGGTTGTTGATACTTCTTGCTGTTCTTTCTCTCTCGGCTGATGTTTGGTATAATGGTAACAGCTTTTTTGCTATTGCTCAGCTCATTACATTCTTTTATTTCTGCATATTTGCTCTCTATCAAACATTCTGTTGCCTCTCGCATGTCTTTTCTAATCTGGAAATTTATCTCTTGATAATTTTCTGCCAATTTAGGATTATGCCTGTCTTTTTGCCAACATGCAGTGTTGCGGGATGATAATGATGTATGTAATTTAGAATTGTTTATGTGCCAACTGTTTCTCTTGTGACTTCCTTTCTCATCCTAACTCTTCTGTTCAATTCTGCAGCCTTTCTTAACTTTCTGTCCCCAGCAAATCACCATGTGTGACTGGATATTATCCATACGCCCCTTTCAAAGCGTTTTGTATTTTTTTACATCTTACGTTAAGTCAGGCACTCTTAGAGAGCTCTGACAACATACCTGTTTCCTAGGGGTGTGTAATTGAAGTGGTACGCGTATGAGTGTGGTATTGTTGCTACTACTTCCCTTGGGCATATGCTGTGATTTCCTGGGACTGTCAGGGGGTTAAACAAACAATAATGTTTAGGTATGACACAGGTTTGGAGCAGTATTCTTTTGGTTTTTTAGCATGTTTTATTTTCCATGCCATTAGACGTCTGTGGGCATATAAGGCTAGACCCATATTTTGTAAACCAATCGGCAGTCTGTGTGTGATATGGTCAGCATCACACCAGCCACCTTTACTTCCCAGGACACCACCTGGTACCCCATTTAAGACAGGGAACAAAAGATATTTTTGAACAAATCAGTATGGATTTGAACCCAGGTCTATCTGTTGCACCACAGCGGCTTCCATTTGTCATGTCAACATTGTCTTTTTCTGTTACAGAAGTAGAAGATGTTGTCAATGCTGTTGTCTGGTTGCTAAGTGACAAAGCCAGCTATATCAATGGTGCCACGCTGCCTGTCGAAGGTGGCCTGCTTGTGGCCTAGGCCTTCCTTGGGACAATCCACTGACTTTTATACGGACCAAGGATCATACACAAAGTTAAGACATTGTAAAGGTTACTGAGATGAGTTGAGCTGATTCAAGAACCGACATCACAGCACTCATAAGGCTTCTTCCCTATCTTCAGCATTCGGCGCAGAGTTCCAATACTCATGAGTATTCTGATTATACATTTGTCTTGCCTTTCTTTTGAGCATCGGGTGATGGCTGAATCCCCTCGTCACTTCCTGCTGCATCACTCATCAGACTGGTGATCCATTAGCTCCTCCAACTTGTTCTCCCACAAGGCCCTAACCACATCTGCGTTATCGTGAATCAATATTCCACCAAGTTGTGCAGCGGCAGCCAGTCTGTCCACCTGTTTCCCAAAAAAAAAGGTTACTAATATAAAGAGATCCATAATTAATTTTTTCTTATTTTGTCATCTCACTGACACCAGATTGTAGCCCAGTGTCGTGGTTTTCTGTTTCTGTCTTGTGCTTCTGTTAATCCTTTTGCAGGTTTGGTTTCAACCAAACCATTCATCAGTCTCTTTCTTGGCCCTCTCCTCCCCTCCTCCCAGATGTACTGCTGTAAATTTATTATATAAAGTGCTCAAATTTAGGTACTTTTGAAGATTTTCAATATATGTATTTGTACTAATTTTTCATATTTTTCTTGTCATATTAAAGATTTAGAATGACTTGTATATTATAGTTTTGTGTTTTCTTTTACTTTTTTATTCACTTGAGTTAGAAGTTAGTTCTATGTCCTTTTTATGAGTCCAGCAGTTTTTAGCAGCTGCGTGGCTTAAACTGGGTAATTTTTACATTCGGCGGTAGTTTGCCATTGCTTTCTGGATGGCAAGAACGTCCGTGTCATCAAAATCAATGCAAAGGGGTCAGCTACTAAATAGTCTGATGCAGCCGACTTTGAAGCTTGGTGTGTCAGGAGGGACTGTGAAACTTCACTGGTACTAACTGCACAGAGGAGAATGCCCTGGTACCAACTGCACAGAGGAGAATGCCCTGGTACCAAATGTACAGAGGAGAATGCCCTAGTACCAACTGCACAGAGGCGAATGCCCTGGTACTAACTGCACAGAGGAGAATGCCCTGGTACCAACTGCACAGAGAAAAATGCCCTGGTACTAACTGCACAGAAGAGAATGTTCTGGTACCAACTGCACAGAGGAGAATGCCCTAGTACCAAATGCACAGAGGAGAATGCCCTAGTACCAACTGCACAGAAGAGAATGTTCTGGTACCAACTGCACAGAAGAGAATGCCCTGGTACTAACTGCACAGAAGAGAATGCCCTGGTACCAACTGCACAGAGGAGAATGCCCTAGTACCAACTGCACAGAGGAGAATGTCCTGATACCAACTGCACAGAGGAGAATGTCCTGATACCAACTGCACAGAGAAAAATGCCCTGGTACTAACTGCACAGAGGAGAATGCCCTGGTACTAACTGCACAGAAGAGAATGCCCTGGTACTAACTGCACAGAAGAGAGTTCCCTGGTACCAACTGCACAGAAGAGAGTTCCCTGGTACCAACTGTGATAGAAAGCTGCGCTAAAGAAAGAAGCTTTGAATAAATGAAGATCAACTTATACATCACATCAGAAAAAACACAAAGAATATCCCTTTATTTCCCCCTCCATCCACACATCGATAAGATAACTGGCCCTCTGAGGTGAATAAAAAGAATTGTAAAGACAATCAAGTCCATAACGCGGGCATGAATTTGGAGGGATGCTATGATCCAAGCACCAATATTTAGTGTCTGCTAACCATCACAGTAGCTCGCCTGCCTGCCCAAAGGTCTAGGGTTCAAACCAACATCGGATCTGACCACCTGTTAACCACTTTATTATAGACCTGAGCAGATGAAGCGAGTGAAGTGTTTGGACAGAAACAGATGTTATGAACAAATTAATTAACTTTATTTTCCAAGGGTCTGTCTTATATTTGGCCTTTCCAAATACACACATTTTATACACATGTCGCATCTGTAAAGCATGCTATCTTCACATAACAATCTAAGTAATATGAATAAAAATTTGGAGAGAAAAAAATGTGGATGGTAAATGAATACATATATGACACGTATTTATTAATACGCACATATATCCACACACCTATACACGCACTCACACTGCTACATTTTCATACATATCTAAACAATGACCCAGCTACAGAGGAGGCAATCACATTATTGTGTTTTCAGTTTGCCCTAGCTGCTGGACCTTACAGTGACCTCAGTTTCTGAATAGTGATGTAAATAAACCACCCCTTTTCACGCCATGGGTCTATTGGGCACATGACTCATATTTCTGTGAACAATCAACACTTTACAGAAGATGTGGTCAACATAACACCAGCTGCCTTTCCATCCCCTGACTTTCCTGGGAACCCATTTTGAGCTGAGTTGACCTTGGACATAAAGGTCATTTTGCAGTGAAGGGTTCTTATGATTCTGATTAAAATATAAACCTATGTAATGTTTACAGCCACAAATACAAGTACAAAACAATCATTGGTGTTATTAGAAAATACAGTGAAATCTGAGTTGACAAATTTTGCAGCCAACAAAAGTATTTTTCACTGGGTTTTTTCTTCTCACCGAAAGAATATATATTTGGTTAATGAATATTAAAGTGGATGTTCCTGACAACATACAGTGAGCCAAATTTGTATCACCAATCACGTTTCAGCTAATAAAGATTTTGGCTAATAAATGTGATTCTGGAAAGAATTCTTTCATTAGCCCCGGTACCACTGTACTTAAAAAAAAACTCATAAAAATTCTCTAAACTTTTATGGTTTCTCCCTTGTATGTTTTTTTTAATGTGTTTCTTTAGCATGGAAAGAGAAGTATATGATAAACCACAATCAACACATTTATAAGGTCTATCGCCTGTTGTATTCTCTTGTGGCACTGCAGAGAGCCAGCACGGGCAAATGTGGTACTACAATCACCACATTTATAAGGTTTGTCTCCTGTATGTGTTCTCTTGTGGCACTGCAGAGTGTGAGCCTGGGCAAATGTGGTACTACAAATATCACATTTATAAGGCTTCTCTCATGTATGTGTTCTCTTGTGGCACTGCAGAGTGTGAGTATGGGCAAATGTAGTACTACAAATATCACATTTATAAGGTTTCTCTCCTGTATGTATTCTTTTGTGGATCTTCAGGCTGAAAGATGAAATAAATGATGCTCCACATACATCACACTTGTAAGATTTCTCTCCTGTATGGATTTTTGTGTGGCTGCTCAGGCTGGAAGTTACAGTGAAATCTGCTCAACATTCATGACATTTGTATGAATAATCTTCTGTAGGTGTACTTTTATGTGCTTTGAGACAATAAGACTGAACAGATGTGGCACCATATCACATTTGTAAGCTTTTTCTCTTGTATGTGTTCTCTTGTGATACTGCAGGTGGGAAGATTGAATAAATGTGGCACTACACAAATCACACTTGTAAGGTTTCTCTCCTGTATGTAATCTTTTGTGTACTTTCAGATGGGAAGATTGAATAAATGTGGCACTACACAAATCACACTTGTAAGGTTTCTCTCCTGTATGTATTCTCCTGTGTACATGTAGACTTCCATGTGTGAGCAAATGAGGCACTACAAATATTACAACTGTAGGGTTTTCCCCCTGTATGTGTTCTTGTGTGATACTTTAGTCTGCTATTACATAAAAATAATGCATCACAATCATCACCTTTATATGATCTGTCACCTCTATGTATTTAAATATTTAATATGAGAAATAGAAGCACCACAATCATCACATTTGTAAAGTTTCTCTCCTGTGTGGGTTCTCAAGTGATCATTTATATGATCAAATTTAGCAAAAGATGCACCACAGTCCTCACACTTGTAAGGTTTTTGGCTTCTGTGTGTTTTCTCATATACAAGTGAATATCTGTTTTCTCTGACAGCTGGATCATAAAGGTCAGATGTGTATGCCATGTTCGAAATTTGCATTCTTTCAGGGCTACCAACAGAATAATCAGGAAACATTGCAGAAAATTTCACCCTTGTTTCAACATAACCTATCTCACTGGTTAAACTTAGGCTGATAATATTCTTATTGTAGTATTATTTTGTGACCTATACTAATCATTCAAGTGTCACTGGTTTGCCCACATCTGCTTTATTTTAATCACTCATGAGTTGGCGTCTCTTTCTATTTTGTGTGTGTGCGTGATAAATGCTGAAACATTCTGTTCAGAGTGGCAATCACTGCTTCACAGGTCTCAGATAAATGGTGTCAGTTGGATATTCTCTTGAGGTTAGGCAGGTGTGCTTAACTCTTTGAGTCCACCCCCTGGGCCTGTGATGCTAAACCCCTTGGGACTCAAAGAGTTAAGGACAGACTGGCTGGTGCTAGATAATCTAGATGTGGTCAAAGTCAATGTCCTCCAGAAGCAAGGGAAGTGAATAATGTAGAAGTACAACAAGCAGAAATAGATCCTTTAGGGTCTTTGAGAAAACGGTGACAAGGGGATCTGGCAGACACTCTACACTTAGTGTAAAAGCAAGATGGACATATAATAAAACTGCTACTTGTGCCATCAGAACTGCCTGCTGAAGAAGAGGATTGTGCGCGTATAATTATGTCCCTAGTTATCTGGCTGAACATGTGTCTATTTTTGTTTCATAGGAAAAAGGAGATGTCAATGCTGTTGTCTGGTTGCTAAGTGACAAAGCCAGCTACATCAATGGTGCCCCGCTGCCTGTCGAAGGTGGCCTGCTTGTGGCCTAGGCCTTCCTTGGGACAATCCACTGACTTTTATACGGACCAAGAATCATAAATACAAAGTTAAGACATTGTAAAGGTTACTAGTATAAAAGAAATCCCTAATTCATCATAAACAGATATCTAAGCCTTGATTGAAGAGCCTGATTTTGAAGAAGTATTGTATGTCATAATATGGCTCAAAAAAAATAAAGCAACTGGTGCTGATGGAATTGCAGCTGAA